TATACAAATGTTATTTACAAAGAGTTTCATGCTCATTCTTCTCAGAGGAATCTGCCTTACGAATGAGCGGTAGAGTTTACCCAATGTGACGATTTCAAGTATAATAATGCTTACCTATGAAATAAAGATTAGTTGGATTTTGATAGGCTGACAAAATGAACTTCTAACGTAAGAATTACACTAACAACAACTTGGTTAATAATTATTAAGGGAAAGGAAGAACTGAAATATTACCAAAGCCAATAAGGCATATACGTGCTTTTGTGTGTTCCATTTTCTTAGACGCCGCAGAAACATGAACGCACGCTACGAGATGTGGAAAAGTATATAGAAGCTTTGAAAATATGGTGATGGAGAAAAATGCTTAGGGTAACGTGGATCTACTTTCAGACTAGAGCTTAAGTTAAGAACTCGGTTAACGCTATCTAATGATAGCGTCTATTATCTTTAGTATAAGTTAGATTTCCGGAGACACATACCACGAAGAAATAACGATTTTATCTAACGGGATAAGTTTGGACAAAATAGAAAAAACTATACTGCGCTGACAAAGGTCCATTCGATGCGACAGATCAGAATGACAGCTGTTAGAATAAAAGAGAGTGACGTCGACAGAAGCTCTAACGGCATTCGTTTAAAATCTCCATATCGTCAAGTATGAAACAACGATACAATAAAAAATCACACTACGTCGTAAGTAGCTATTACAACAAAGCGCATTAGCGCTTTATACATCCAACCTATAGAATCTACATCATTGAACGATTATAACAATGCAGCGGAAAGAAGGCTGGCGGTGTTCCAACGGGGCTGCACGTAAGTGGCCCACGATCACGCGATATGAGGGTAGTCGGAAATCGAAAATCGATATGATAAAATTTTTATTCGATCCAATTTGAATAGACTTAACGTATGAGAGATCAGTTCCGATTCTACGAGGGAAGTGATTCGAATATTTTGCATGCAATTTTTGTTGTACAAATTTGCTGGCCATTTCAAATGGACTGTGGAAAATTTATTTTAAATTTGAAGTTATTTAACTAAAATAATATTTATGTTCGATGTAGTAAAGTTTACAGTAGGTGTGAGTTGCCTTTAATAGCTATTACATTAACGTTAGCCACTGTACTAATAATGTGAAATCGACTTTTCGTTACTTGTTTAATAAATATTAGTAATGGTAAGTATCTTTAAGTCCTATGTCACACTCAAAGTTTTCTTCAACACTTAGCAATAAATACTTTGAAAACTTCTCGATAACTTTCTGTGTACATTACATCCCTACTATTGAACTGTATGGGGTTGCCAGATGTTTGGATATACCTCGACCTCTTTCCTCAAAGTCTGGTGAAAGTTTTGTTTGATTCATTCAAACTTTTCTGCAAGTTGATGTACCTATTCATATATTGTATAATAATGTGTTTGTTGTACATTGCATTAAAAAGATTTGAAATTAGGTCAGTAGTTTCTTGTAGTGATCGAAATTTATTGGACCTCGAGATTGCTGGTCCTTTTGTAGATATTTTCGGTAATCATATGCGCTATATAGTACGTGTTCATTATCCTGGAGTTTATTGTGTTTTCTAACAACGAAATACACCGAATGAGTTTTTGCATAACTGGTCTTCTGAAACACGGAATAGAGTAAGTTACAGGGCAAAAGAAAGATATTATTTTGAGAATAGAACCACACAACACGACCTGTTCACAAACTACAAACAATGTAAGTACTTTCCTATAATATATGTACTAGAGCATTCAGATAACAAAAAATCCTTTTCTAAATTAGAACCTCTTCATCTAGCGCCCACAGTTCAAACTGTCGGATCACCGAGGTTTTGAAAAAAGACTTATACCTATCTATTAACAAGCATTGAACACGGAAAAAAATGTAACCAGTTAGCGAGATACATTTCGAAGAAATTGCAATACAAACATGTACACTAGCAACCCTACATCAGCAGTTGGCTACTGGCTATTGGCCGAAGCTCAACCGGATTAACGCTTCATCCACCAATTAGTGGCTATTCATCCGTTTGCCTATAAAATTATGTCGGAAAAATCTTAGCAAGTTTCTTGGAAAAATATTATTTGGGAAGATTTGATGCCATATCCTGGATTCTCATTAGATTTGTGCATTACTTCCGCCAAGGAACAAATATATAAATATCTATAAAGGATATCCTGTCAGTATTTCTTCGGAAATATATCGTGTGCAAAATAAATTTATTTACTTGAAGATACTGCGCTTAGTACAGTTGCCGCAATTCTCAAAAACAAAGAGTTCATTCTACGACGAAATAATTAAATAAATTATCAGTTAACCACCGTGTGTGGCTACCTTGTGCTTTTAGTAACATACTTCGGCAGATTACCGTTCTTTAGATATAATGATTTCAGCTAAATGTTGTCATGGTTACGATTATCACATTATTACGATTATAGAAGTATAGTCGCACCTTTTTGTCACTGCTCGTAAACAAGCCATTAGCTCCTTCACAGTTTGTAGCGTATGTTAAATATAGTTTGGTTAGGTGAGCTGTTATTCACATTAGCAATTCACGTGCCACCGTAGATTGAGATTTAAGCTTCGAAGTTATGGCCTACCCTGGTCATAGTTAGAAGTCAGTGATTACCACTTCATATGTAAATGTGGATTCTGTATAATGTTCTACTTGTGCAACCTATTTTAAATGGTCATGCAGGTAGTGACATAATCTGTTTGGTAAACAGGACAAATGGTGAAGTATTTTTTTTTAAAGATCTCGGTAAATAATTACTTTTCGTTGATTACTTGCATTTGACTGTCGACTACGGTCCTGTTAGACACTGAAGCGTGATTCATTTAGACATAAATGTGAGTATATTATAACTATTTTTCATTTACAAAAATGGCCGACCGACAACGATCGTTGTCAGTCGGCCATTTTTGTTTACGTTTAACATTTGTGTACTATTAAAATTTAGGAACTTAGTTATTATTGTTATCTATGAGTCTTTTCTCGTAATTTTAACGATTTTAAAAAGCGCTAGGTACAACAAAAATAATATATATCTTTTCACATAAGAGTAGTATCTGTATCTACTGTCATAAAAAATAAAAACCTTTTTCTTCGCCTTTGTGCTGGCCTTATGTTCCATTTCTTTTGATTCAAGCTCAGCGACTACACGCATTGTCTTCATGTCTCTTTGGACGGTTAAATCCAAGTAGTTTGGGGTCTGTCTTGTCGTCTTTTGGCGGTTTCAGTTTCCAGCGACAAGATTTTCGTGGTCATTTTATAGCATATGTTTGTCATCATTACCTATTACATTGCCTTTGTAACTTGAAAATACTACACTTTAATTCAAACCAAACTATGATTGTTTAACCAACCGACTACATCCGGATTCAAAAAGTTCTCTCGCCCGATGAGCTAGCCACAGATGAGCCTGAAGTTATTCCCCAAGTTTGGTCGGGTATTGATTTTGCACGATCGCGTGCACAACCCTGGAACGCAGCCAACCACTGCATTCAACGCGTCTATCATCGCCTTAGTAATTACTACCACTAAGCACGTTTAAAGACATTGCTGGTGTACTATGACGACCTACATTTGCGGTTTTGCCATCTCGTCAAACTTAGGGCTGTTCTTTTGTACAAGTTACTAGCTGCTAGTGGTTTTGTATAAGCACGGAGCTTAATTTTTTTGATATTTCCTGCAAATGTAAACCATATTCAGTTGCTACTAATTTTCTTCACGTACTAGTAATTGGACATTTAATGCGACGTTATGAGAGTCATGTTACTCGGAAGATGTTTATTTAATATTGATGTGGATGGTTTTAAGGGTAACGCAAGATCAAAGAAAAGATGAATGGATTGTGTGAAATATGATATGTATATGAAAGGAGTGAACAACGAAGTGACAGGCGATAGAGATGAATGGAATGAAAAGACATACTGCGCCTATCCCACATAATGGAATGAGGGCAGAGGGATGGTGATACAAATAACGGAATATTTGGTTGGTTAAAATCTTTTTTATTCGGTTACGTAACTTAAAACTGCTTCTGGATTTAATTTTAACGTCAGATGCTTTCAAGAAAAGGCAGTAAAGCATTTGTCAAGCCATGACGATGTTATCATTATCACTTTCTCAAACGAATCACCTTGAAGATTGGTCTAATTTCCTTTCACATTGAAGATACCAGATTAGAGTTCTAACAGATGATATTATGGCGTGTTTCTTTCGTATACAAGTATCTAAAATATCTCTTTTCCTAATCGAATCTACGATCAAAGTGCCACGTTGAAACCTGATTTCCAGCAAACTAACACTATTATCGAGCACAATGGAAACGACTGGGATTGTATTCTACGACGGTAACTCGATAATCCGAGGCAATTACCACCGCCTCATACGATACTGGGTCACATCCCACTTCTGAATTTAAGTTTCAGGTTTGTAATAGAATTGTGCAATTAGTTTGTAACTTGTTCAAGTTTTTATGATTGTTTTAAATTTTGATTACAATTAAAAGACTAAATGGTTGTAGGAGTAGATCATACATCATCTAGAACTATAGGTTCTATGTGATAAATAGAACAAATTTGGAAGTTACACAGTACCTTATAAATGTTAACTGTTTAATTTACGTGTCATATAATATCTTTGCTTTTAGAAACTACTTTAGAAAATTAACATGATCACAAATTAGCGAACTTAAGACAAAACAGTTTTTTATATTATTAAAACCTGCAAAATATTTACTATATACGGTCTAATGGAAAGTGGTAACCGTCGCCTATAGACAATTGCATCACTAATCAATCTACTTATTAATCTGGAACAAAACAGAGCTGCTATGCTGCGGCGATGGGTTGGGCGGTCATACCCCACACAGGTAAAGTCGTAGTCACAGGGATCACGGTTGTCCGTTACCATCACGTATGTTACACAAAAGTTTACGTAATTCTAAAAGAGAATAAACTTAATGTTGGTTATTAAGAAAATACTCACAGTGATTCTCTTCAGCTGCCTTTTCCCCTTGTACCAGGTGATAACAGCTGGCGGTCTACTTCCAGCAGATTCACAGGTGACCTCATATCGGCGTTCGGCCGTGAGTACACCATTATCGCCTGTCTCTGTCGGCTTGTTGATTTCCACTGTTAGTGGTTTTACTAGAAAGAGAAAGTGAAAGTTAAGTACTTCAGAAGAAAATTGATAGTTAACATTACGTAGATAACAAAATGGAAGTGAAATATTCAAAGAAAATATCTTCATTCATATTTTGTACAAATAGTCTATGTTGGCAAAAGATTAATGAATAAGGTATTGTAATAATTTAACTAGCTTTCACAGAGAACTTTTGTTGTTATTTCGCTACGTTTTAACATTTAACGTTTTATTTTACATCAGGCGATTATGTGTAAAAAATTAAGTCAGTGAAATATAAATTTAGTGCTGTATAACCCATAATACGGGTCTAGTACTGTCTCGTATATAAAATGGAAATCAATAGTAGCCACTTTTGGCGAGAAACTTAAGGCTCAATTTAAATAATAAATACAATAATAATAATAACGCACACACTCAACATAGCCCCGCACTAGGGAAACCCTGTGTCGCGGGTGCCATGGACACAAACATAGATAACCACAAATTACACCCAAACTCACGAGAGAAATAAATGTAGGCCATACAAATATTTCTCCCGGCCCGGGAATCGAACCCGGGGACCTCTGCGTGGCAGTCCGGTATGGTAACCGTTCGGCCACGAAGGCAGTTATATATATTATAATTTATATTAGAGATTAGAATAGAAGCTAATTTTTGTAACATAGCATAATTAACTTTATGATCAATTGTGTAAAGTACATACTACATACGAGTCAAAATCTTCCAAAGAATGCGCGGGGCATGCGCGAGAATTCCTCGGAAGATTTTGGCTCGTACTTAGTTTGTACGTTACACAATTAATCATAAAGTGCATTACGCTGTGTTTGAAAATTCGCCTCCATTTCATTCCGCCGCAATGTAAATTGAGCCTAAGAGATATACAGAAATAAAATGCTACAATTCAAACAATTGTGCACTCCTAAAGGATGAAGATAAAATTCAAAACAAAATAAGTTGGAATCAATAAGCTAAATACTCACAAAACATATCCAGTACCAAGGATACCTCCTTAGGAGGCACCAGAAGTGAATTAGCGGCCTGACAGGTAAAGACAGCAGCATAATCACCGCGACTGATTTGCGGCCACAGAAGCCGGTTCTCTATGACATCACCCGTGTTGTGTTCGTACTCTTCGTCGACTAGGACACCGTTCACCAGCCACCGCACTTGGGGTTCTGGACGACCTGGTAAAGAAATTTTATGTTATATAAATATATTCACTCACTCAACAACGATATGAAAGGTTCTAGGTACCACTGCTTCCGATAACTGTCACCAGAGTTCCAAACTAAACACCTGTTAATTCAAAAGCCAAACTAGTTTTCAGAGTGAAATTTCAAATACGATAGAATTCGTAACCGTTTTTCTGATTCAATTTCTAAAGTTAAGGTTTTCAAGACTGTGTGTAACATTTCACATTTCGTTGGATACCGAGATTTGGTTAGCAGTCGCATTTCAGACAACGATATACAGTCCTCATAAGTGGATATGATACATAAAGGTCAAAGAAGAGGCAGTATGGTTACGTAGGTGCGAAAATAATCTTAAATACCAAACAGTAATTAAACAACAAAAACAACAAATGTAAATTTACTACATAGTGTTTTAGAAAGAATGATCTGATGTCTCTTAATTAGTCTTTTAAAATCAATTTTAAGGTCAAGTAAAACATGTTAAGTAAAAAACAAAGGACGATAGGATTTTATGTCTTGTACCATTCAGTATTGTTTAACTTCATCATAGCAAAATTTGCAACATCTTAATTCCAAAATCTGGAATTAGAACACTTATGCACTACGTCCAATCCGTATCAGTTCCGAATCTGAAAAAATGACGGTCCGAAATGTCACGGGTGTCCGAAGTATCATTTTATCTCTAGCCGTATAAACGATATTGGTATTTTCTCAGATATCGAATCGGACTTAGTGCACAAGCGACATCCGAAGTGGGTCCGAGTTTTCTAGATTTGAATGTAGAAGTGCGCAAACACCCTAAATGTCCTTTATTTCTCGTCTACAGAATTGTTAAGTTCCTGCATATACTCTCCGAAATACATTCGATAGAAAACCGACAAGAAGATCTCTATACTGCGGTAATCAAGACTTAGAATCTTTGGCTGTACTAAAGAGTGGCTGCCAGTCTCTGCTTTTCGCTTCACTTGATTACGCGTCAATTAGTATAGGGCAAAGCCGTCTTAAAGGTGACAGCAGTAGTTGATCTAGGAGTACTGGATAGTGCTGCTTCTGGAATGAATATCGTTACTATTTACTATATGAGTAATCCCATAAATATAAAAAAATAACAGTGGGCCACATGTCACGTGATTTAATTTTTTACTTAAATAGCTAAATTTTAACTCGAGTCACATAAACATAATCTCATGCTCAAGCAGAAACTTCACTACGAAAACAAACCTGAAATTTCCGATGTCCAAAGCAACCAACATTCAATACAAGCTTTAGCTTGGGCTATCCTAGCACAAACAAACTTCACAGAAAGATCTTTTGTCCCCTATTTACGCCCAGTATATTTGTCCGTACACTCCTAAATTGAATTAGTTCAAACCTTGGACAAGTCCTGTTCTGAATTGGACTCAATTTGGATTTGCGACGGACTTTCTAATGAAATGGCGTCAGGGTTTGTTAATGAAATTGATTGTGTGTGTAAGTGATGTTTCAAAGAAAAAACGTAGGTTAGATTTGATGAATAAGTGAAAACATTACGACGCAATTTAAAGTAATTTATATTCGGGGTATGAAAGAGGTTCATACTAATAGGCGTTTTAGCGCTTGCATATTTGAACACGAAATGTATGACGATAAGGTGGAATTTGCAATGTACAGGTAACCGAAATAAGGACACATTGTAAAACACATTGAACTGCCTATAAGGGTACATGTTTATGGGCTCTGTTTAAAATATATTAACGTTGAACGGGAGAACAATAAAAAATAAGTGTTTCTTTTACGATATTTAACAGCCATCATACGAATAGATTTGACATTTCAATTTGAGCTTCAGTCTGTGTTACCTAGTTAGTTACCTACACGGTTGTCATATAAAGATGTTCTGAAAAGACACGCGAAACATTGCAACATTAACCCCACGAGATGGGATTCATTAAAGTGGCCGTTCTGGGTGGAGGCACATTGTGAAAACTGAAGTGAAGGTGAAAAGATTTGAGGAACAGTGACTATCAGACCTGGACGCGAAACATGATGCTCTCTAGGCTAAGACACCTGCAGCCATCTTTTACTACTTTATCAACGGTGTCCTTACGTGTCGACACTGTTTGCGAATATTTATGGCATGATAAATGTAGCCATTTAAGGGCACATGAAAAAGCAAACAACCGTAGCTCTAATTCAAAACAATAGCAGTCGCTGTGGCCGAAACACACTGAAATAGATGTATGAACCTCAGTCGTATAGTTCTTTAATTCTATTCAGCTCGACTTCGAATTATAATTCATTGGTGGTGATTTTTTATGATATAAATGATGGCGCGAACAAGTTCTGCATGCGTCTGATGGTAAACGACGCGTCTAACCCTTAACAATTGCAGAACAGAACGCAAAGCTTTAAGTCACAAAGATCTGAGACATAAAGGTCACAAGTTCCATATGCCTGTTGTTTCACCAGTCTTTTCAAACTGGAATGCAGTATGCTTTCACAAGAAGCATTACTGCTGTAATGTGTGAGTTCAAGTGTATGTGCGTGCATGCGTACGTCTACCCGTGTGTTGCCCTGGTATCCGAGTGTATGTGCTTGCAAATTGAATAGATTGAAGATTGGTTTTGTCGCAGTGATAAGGAACTGCATAAGCATTGAATAGGCCATCCATGAATTACCATCCATTAATAATAATAACAACGGTTTTATATCTGCCAGAGTCGCTAGCAATTTGGAACCACCGGATTTCTGTAGCGTATCGCTTCCAGAATATACACAGAATACATTACTACTTGATACGGCACTTGTCGGTTCTTGAACCCTAGTTCATGAACCCGGCCGCTTGTGAGATTGCCTTAGATTACCGTTTATTCCATTATTACCAAAATTGATCTTTCAGGCTATAAGAGAGACAAGAATCTAAACTAAGTAATCATTAATAGCAATAACAATAGCGAGCTAATTTTCTTTCAGATGCTCGATTGAATTTCTCGTCGTAAAAAATGTAAAAATAACCATGTAAATAGTGGTAATCACATCAAAGAATTATTAAAAACCAGTTCACCACTCTTTTCGGCTATTCAAAGCGTAGAATCGATTGGCTTACCTTTTAATAATTACAAGGAAACAGGTCAACCATTGTGCCGGAGTTATCGACCTAATTTTGGTATCTTTACGATATTAAACCGTTCTTTCTTTCGATCAGTTTAAACGCTACCTTTTGTTTTTCAAGAAACATTTATAAACCGAGTAAGTGTCCATACTTAGAAAGAAAAAAGATAGATGAAGATCTGTAGTAGGTAGGATAGGCTTCCTGTTAAATAGTGTAATCTTATTTATCTCATGTAAAAGAGATAATAACAGAGTTTACACGACATGCGAAATATAAGAATAAAAATATATATAACACAAAACAAAAACAATAATAACATATGAAGCAACAGCAAAAAAGCAAATAATAATTACATAAAGCAAAGGAATAATTAACAACTTCAGAAGACATTGAAACTTATTATGTAGAAAGAGTACCACGCTTAGGCTTTGAGAATTATTCTGCTATGGTAAAAAATAAAACAAACACAAATATAAATGGACAAAAATACAATTGAAATAAAAACCAAGCAAGCGAAATTGTAGCGATTGTTACGCTACAACTTGCACTTCTACACGTGAATAATCACATTTCTTCGTATGTGTATTTATTTTGAAACGAGAAGGTACCCGTTTCGTAAACTCATCGTACAGAACAAAATCATAAACTTAAAATTCCTGAATGTCATTTGCCAAAATAAAGCAACCATTTTCCAGTTAAAAAGAAGTTAGAGAAAGGTTCAGAATTTAACCCTCGAGCAACAGGCAGCCCTCTGAAATCTTCAGGCTTGAAAAACAACGTCCGGGCCTAAGCCCCTGTCATTAGAAAGGCATCTGCGTTCGTAGGAATTGAAAAAAAAAAAACTTGCAAAGAACGTGTCGGAGTTAAAAATTCATGGGGCCATATTGAAAAAGTTGACACCGATTGTTTGATTTAACGTATAAGTTAGTTAAGAAAAATTTTCGTTTTCATTATTTTTAGAATAAATTGTATAAAAAGCTTCGCATTTCCGTTTCTCGTGAGGACAATAAGGCGAGGGTTTCAGATCGTAAATGATTAGAAAGAATAAGTCACGCTACACTGTGCTGTAAATCAGAGCGCCAATTGAAGCGCGAGGATCGTCGATCGTGACACGATATACTAATTTCGCACACCTTTAACATTTCAAGAAAATTACCCGACACATTTTAACACCTATGTATCGGCTGACGTTAGACGACTACTTACCACAGTGTAGAAGCATTTATTACTAGGCTTCAGTAAACCGTGATTAAACTACCAATGTTACGGAGCCACGCCATTGGCTTTTCTGGTGTCACAGATCTATTTGGGATTGTTGGTGCTTTCGTCTTCCTTTGCTTAGCAGATAATGTCGACTTCTCATACACTGCAAAAGGATCTCCAAAAAAGTAGAATCCCTTCGTATTTTCAGGAAGTACGCTTCAATCAATTTCTCGATTATGTAAATTCGAGCCCCTGTCGATTCAAATTTCGTTCGAGGATACTGTAACCTGATAAAATCCATTTTGATTGGGATCGGCAAGTTTTAACTGCGCGTGATTTTTAAAAACGTATTTCCGGAAGCGAGAAAAGATTCGGCACGGAAATTCGTTGTTTTTTAAGGATTTCCAATATATTCTGAAATTAATGATCTAAAAATAAACCTCGATCGAATTATATTGTAGCTTGCTTTCAACACGTCAGTATCTGGCTTATGAAGCTAATACAATATTGCATTATTAAAAGGTACGTTTAGTTAAGGACTATTCACAGAATACTAAATAAAGTATAATCATTGCGACATGGGTGTACCTGAACGTCTTTTCGAACAACTTGACGTAATTATTAATTCATTTATTTTTATTTAAAAGTACTAACCCATCGCGTGGTCAAGATATATACTTTAAAATGTACATTTACA